ATTATGTTCACATCTGTTCAAGTAGCAATGTTCATGTAGTTAATTCTATATGGAATAATACCTAATATTGTTTCTTAATTCTATCTATACTGCTGGTTTCATAGTATCTAAATTGAAGGATACTTGTAGATAATAATTGGATAATAATTGTAATTTAAACATATACTGGTAGTTAAAATCTAAAATACTAAAATTTCCTTAATTTTCATAGTAAAATACAAATGAGACATACTATAAGATCCAAAATCTTCACAGAAATGTAATTTATTCATGCATATAGCAGCAAATAAAAATTGTCAACAATAAAACTTGGATGCTATCAATGTGTTACTAAGTGCATCTAGACTTTGTAGTTTCACACAGTTTTGTAATAGGTACTTTATAGTCACTAAATAGTTATTCACTTACACAGTCCTGCAAGGTGGCCAGTCAAATATTATCCATATTTTACAGATGAGGCATCTGAGACAGGGAGATTAAGTGACTCACCCAGAGTTGCACAGCAAGTCATTGACAGAGCAGGGATTGGAACTGAGTTCCTGATTCCCAGTCCTGTCCTTGGTCTGCTTGACCACGCTACCTGTCTATAGTAAGTTTCCAAATCATACTTGTGACAAGCGTCTGGCATACTAACAAAAAGTTCAGAAATCCAAACAATATTAATGAGACAAGAATACATAATAGCAATAAAGCAAACTGTGTATGTCATTAAGTTGCAGAAGTAAAGTGTTATGAAGTTACTCAGGAGCCAGAAATGTGGTAAAGCACATAGTAAGGTACTATTTAAGACACCAAAGGAAACAGATCAAAGAGGACCACTGAGAATAAGCCACCAGCAGTGCAGCTTCTGGCAGCCAACAAAAGGGGCCACTGTCCTGTGGCCAGGCTCTTCTGTCTAGTGCTGAGCACAGTCGACGTTTTGGTGTTTTTTGCTTTTGTTTTTGTTTTTTAAAGAAAATTAGACCCGGTCTTTATTTGTCAAATATAAAAACTTGAGTTATATTCCTTAAAGACAACTTTTCTGAAAAGGTACTTTTGCTTTGGGGAATTGAAAAGTGAAAGCTGTAATTTGAACAGTAAATTTATTTCATCAAAACTAACCAAAAGAAAGATGCAAAAAATAAAATGTTTCACATTCAACAATATCTTTAGACTGTCATAAATATGAGATTTATGAAACTAAATTATCTGACCTAGTAATATCATCTACTTCCACCATCTAAATTT